CTCCATCAACATTTAATATATGATGTGTCCTGGATGATCAATAGTTTGTTGAAGAATAAAGACAACAAACATTTATAGAAACTTCTCAATGGAACACTAAATGAAAAAAAATCTGAAAGTCTTATCATTTAACATTTACAGCTCTCAAGTACTCTCGAGTTAATATTCCTGAGCAGTGTGTATAATAAATCTTTGTCCTGGTTCGTCATTTAGAACAAAACAAGACTCCAAGTGCCAAATCCAGATAAAAGAAGTCTTATGAATCTGCAGATGTCTTATTTATCTGGATGGTGACAGTTGGAGAAGGAAGCTCTGAAAACGATTGCAGGTGGTCTTTGACCTTTGGGGTTCTGAAGATTGTAATTGTAATTGACATTAAAAAAACTGCTACAAAAGCTTGACAGCATTGAGAATTGAGCAGAAATAATCCAAACATGCCTTTAAAGGAAAACTAAATCTAAATTATACACGCTAGCAAGAGGACCACTTTTCAAATTAAGATCACTATATTTATTGCTAAAAGAGTCACTCTGCTAGTACCAGACAATTGAGTTACCACAAGAGATACTTACAAGAGGAATTGTCAGTTCTAAATTATAATGCAGAATGAGCCCATTTCATATAAGCAGATCCACTTGACTGCACATTGTGTTCATTTTTTAAATGTAGATCCTCAGGATAGATTCCTTTCTATACAGCAGCTTAAAAATGTCACTCCACATGGTGGTCTCCTGTGTCTTGGATTTAGTGTCAAGGCAAGAGAAACTATTAATTTGTTTGCATAAATCACATCACTGCATTCAAGTGAAGAATATCCAAAGAGATTTCAGATACACTAGCATTTGGCTTCATGATCTGCATTGATGTGCACCATATGGGGCCAGGCACCCCATCACAAAGACATTTATTCCCTGGCTGCTGGTAACAGAAAATTGGGACAGAGGATCTGGGATTTTCCCTAAGTTGAAGCTTGTAAGTATCTGCAAAATGCAGATGTAACTGAATTACGTGCAAAAAAGACAGGATGAATAATTCCACACTACTCCTTCTCAATTTGGTGTTTTGTGGTAACTGCTCCACTTGGATGGAAACTCTTAAGAAGTGAGTTTTAAGGTTTTGCCTAAGCCCTGCTAAAGTCAAAGGATCAGAGATTGTCAAGCAGCAATTTGCAGGCAAGTCACTTCTCGAGAATCAGCTGGAGACCTTCTAGTTGTTGTTTTTGAAATCAATGTTCCATTTAATCTGCATATCTCTCAAGCAGCTGGTACAAATATATTTTGATGTTTACATTCAGTGTTTGTTGATCAAGAAGGCACCAGTGTTAAGACATTCCCTTGTTAACCCAAGAGATTCAAACTGGACAGATCAACAAAAAAGAAAATAAAGTACTTTCACCTGTCTTGTACCTTTCATAGCTTCAGGATGTCCAAATTAATTGCTTTTGAAGTGTAGTCACTATTGTCAAATAGGGAAACAAAGGCATCAAATTGGTGCTGTGCAAGTATTGTGAATATCAATAAGATAAAGGATCAATAAAACGGCTTTAGTGATGTTGGTTGAGGGATAAATGCTGGGCAGGATAATGGGAAAACTCACTTGGTCATCTCCAATGTTACTTAAACCCCAGGGTGGACGGGACTTCAAGGTTCCACTGAAAGAGAACTATCTTTGACAGTGCAATCTCTCCCCTTGACTGTTAACTCATATTATGACCCATGTTTTACATTCAGTGATTTGTTTGACCGTCATATGGAAGAAATATTGAGTGATATAATAATCTTTGTGGCAAGAATTTTAACTCTCTTACTGTGGAATTGATTGTAATTAAATGGAAATTCTGGCAAAGAGGTAAAGTGATACAAACAAGCTCACCAGGCACTGTATCATGTCTCACAGCAATATAACTTTAAAGGATATGCTCATGATGATAACACCATACTGTGGCTTGTGACCTAATGGTATAAAAGGTCTCAGACAGAATCTTATTGAGCTCTATCCTTTTTCAGCATGACATCCTGAGGACAATGTACTCTGGTTTACATACAAACTGCTTAGCTTGAGCCCAGATACACAAGTGCCTATGACTGTGCAGTACAAATGTACATATCAGGTGCTCTAATAAATGTTCATTGAATTCTTTAGTACAATGTCACCTATGTCTCATTTGTATGTTACAGGAGCTAATATAAATATCACATCACAATAGTTGAAGGTCATCAGCTATTATGTCATATTACATTACTAGCCTGCTGATCTTATTAAAGATTCCAGAGACTGGCAACATAAAAATGAAAAGCACTAATAATTATATCACTCATAAAACATTTTTGTAAAAAATGAAATATAGATTCAGACAATCAAATGGGGCTGTAGAAGCTGAAATATCATGAACAAAGTCCTTAAAGACATAACTTTTAATGACCCATGAAGCAAACAAGGAGAAGCGCTTATCAGATTTCACTTTTTGAAACATTTCCACCTACGCCAACATAACTTAAAGATGAATTAACAAGTGAAAGATTTTTGATAAAAAAAAGTTGGCAAATTTCACTTAAAGTACTCACAACATTAAAAACACTCATTACTTCCAGCACAGGTATGGAACCATGTGCAGTATTACAGTCACTCCAACTTTCCTTCATCAGCTATCACATTCCATCTGGCGCCCAGACACAGTCATTACTGACAAGGCACATATCTACAAATCTTCTCTCACACAGATCATGAGTGTGCTGATGGCACAGCATCACCAGAACTTCCCTTCTCTAATCCTTTTGATGGTCTGGTGCGCTTTGAAAACAGAGTTAAACAGCAACTTGGGTGTTGTCTAATTCACTATCCTGTCTTCAACTCTCTGCTCCTTCTAACTGTAAAACACACAATGATATTGAAACAGGTCTGTGAAAATAGAGCAGAGACAAACAAAAGATTGTTCCATTCAGAAAAAACTTGCACGGCTCATCTTCACATGAATTGTTAATGTATTCTAAACAGAAAACACTGGCTGACCCTAGCCCATAGCAGATAACAAAGTGTAGAGTGGATGAACACAGCAGGCCAAGCTCTGATGCTGCTTGGCCTGCTGTGTTCATCCAGCTCTACACCTTGTTATCTGAGATTCTCCAGCATCTGCAGTTCCTACTATCTCTGAAACAATTTTAACCCTAGCCCATAGCAATTAACTTTCTGCTTACCCTGTGCTTGTTAGCTGTTGATTCCAAAGCAACCTCAGGTTACATGAGTATTTCCTAGTACACAGTTACATTATGATAAGGAATCAGTTGAAAACAAAACGAGTAATTTAACAATTTATTTCACACTTGCCATTTGGGGAAATGATGTTCAAACTTTCACCATCTCTCATGTGAAGAAGTGTTTGCTAATTTGCTTCCTAGAAGGTCTAACTCCAATGTGTTCACTATGCTCCAATAACCTTACCAGAAATCAAGTGAAGTCATTTTTAATCAAAATGCACCACTGCAACGACACACTGAAATTCCTGGCACCAGCACTATCCTTATAAGTTTATTTTTTACCTGGTTGAGGGCTGTCAGTCCAGAGCTACCCTGTAATTTTCATTTGCTCCAGACAAGGCAGATGAGGGGAAATTGAAGCCACGCTTTGTGGACTGGGACTGGAGGCCCTGTTGGATGAGGTAGTGCAGAGGAGTGCTGTCCTCTTCTCCCGGGACGGGCCGAGGAGGTTATGACACCAGACCATGTAAGTTTCCTCCTAGATCAGGTGACCTCCACTGCCCAGTGGAAGAAGGTCAAGGGTCTTCTGTGCTCCATGAGGGTAGTACCACCATCTTCTCTCTACTACCTTAGACTCACGCTGGCTCTGCTGCTGCTCCCATCTCCCACCAAGGCTTTCTTTTTAAACCATTCTCACTCACACATACAAGATCTTTCCTCAACTCGCTCTCACAAACAAAATTCCCCTAGGCTACTAACCCTGTATAACCTCTGCATTGCCTATTCACCTACTTGGGGCAACTCGCCACTTTTCTCCTACCTGCACCAGCACTGACATCTGTGCCAGCCACTTTCATCGCATTCAATCCTTCGATCCTTTCCTTTCAGGAGAATAAACGACCCATCCATATCTCAGCAACCAAGTGGGAAGCATTGCCCATTGCTGGATTATTCTTCCATTACCCTCACTGTGAATGTATTCTTGAATGCTGAATATAACCCTACGCTGTGTAATCTCTCCTGGTAATTTAGCCCTTGAAGTCCAAGTTCATTGTCGGAAATTTATGAAGTATTCCCTTCAAGAATAACATATCTTTCTTAAGGTGCGGAATGTAGAACTCTCAATAGTCAGGTCCATGTTTACCTGAAGAAAGTCTTCTATCAATTAAAAATGATTTGTTCACCCCAAACCATGCCTCCTCCCCCACTTTGTATTCTAGTCCGATGGATATGAAGGTTTGCATTTCATTATCCTTTTTGACTATTTTTTGCATCTGAAATTTTAGTGATCTGTTACCTGAACCTCGAAGGCTCTTTACATCATTTTGAAATCTTTACCATCTAGACAGTACCCTGTTCAATCCTTTTTAGATCTAAAATTTACCTGCATTAGAATCCATTTGCCTAAGTATTGCCTATCACTTAATCTATTAATCTCTCTTTGTAAAACGATGCTGTCAAAGAATGCTGTCTATCTTTGTGATATTTAGATATGTAGAAAATTTGGATATGTAGGTATTTATCCTGTAAATTACCTCATTAATAAATACATAGGCAGGAGTTTTCCATCTTGGATGTTAAGTATGGGGGAGGGGAGCAAGTGTTGTTAAGGGTGAGAGCCCATCTGCCCCAATGGATGGTACAGCCAATCTGATCAAGTGCCAATCAGCACCTGAATGCTGGCTGGTGGGCTTCTTGGCAAATCAGTTCTAATTAGGCCAATCACCTAATGAGGCTGGCTAATCAGAAGCTAGCAGTCGGTGGCCTGCACCTATATGTCCAAGGCCCAGGTTTATTGGCTGGATTAGCAACCACAAGGATTAGGAACAGCAAAAAGCAAGACATCTGTGTGGGGAGGATCACAGGCTAGGGGTCGCAGAAAATTGTGGGGGCTGGATTTGTCAGGAACGCCAAAGGTAGGAGCAACTGGTTGATTATCAGAGCACTCCTGCTGTACACCCCACCTGTGCTCACAATTTCCTCCAGAGTGGGACTAAATGAGGTTCCACGCTTCTCAGCCAGGAGGCTGCCCACCCCAGCCTCCTGTTTTCACCTGTCAGGAGAGCAGGTATTCGGGCTGATTAATGATCTATTAATTTGTTGACATTTGTACAACTCATTGGAATTTTATTTCAGATAGAAAAATTCTACAATTCACAGTTTACCACTGAACATTCTCAACATATCTGACCAATGGCTACAGTGGGTTGTTCAGCTAAATCTTAGAGTGCACTTAGTTATTTAGCATCTGTGTGAACTGCATTTGGTTTAAATGTGTGCAGTGTAAATCAGGATTAAAGGCCTGAACTGATTCTAAACAAGACAGACCAAGATTACAGGAAATTTCAGTCTCCTTTGGTCTAATCTCAGATCAAGGTTTGACTCTGAATTTAAAAGAACTGACAACATAGCAGCTTTGGTATAAAGCAAAACAGTTTAACAAGATATGTTTTTTATTGTCAATCATAAAGATTTTGACTGCTGCTAATCACAGATGGCATTACAGAATGTATTTATTCCTGCTCTTATAAATCTTCATAACATATGAAATTGAACTTAGTTCAATAAATAAACAAGTAAATTGCACTGCTTTGTTATTTATAGAGTAATAGAATCATGTGAAATTCCATAAGCTACTTCTTGAATATGATACTTATGAATCAAGCCTCAGGCAACCAAGAAACAATACATTTTAAATTAGTTTGCTGCTTTCTCATTGTGAATCAAAGAGCACAGTGTGAAAAAAAAATGACATCTGTTGATAATATGCGTTGATAATTATTTTGTCAATTAATATATTTAACATTTGTCAGGTTTTTGTTTGCATCCTACAATCAGACTAAATTAGCAAACTGATTAAAAGAGAGAAAAAAAAAACTTTCCGACCGGCAACCAATCTTGCTCGCCCTAGGCTTTTGTTTTGTCGCTTTTGGCAGTAACTTTTATCTTAGACAGTTTGCATTTCCCTGTTTCCTAAAGGAGACAGTAAAGTACAGATGGAACAATTAGCACTCTGTTCTATGGCTCATTACAAATCAGTGTTCCAGAAACACAAAGACACTGCACATGATGTCTGTAAACCGCTGGGAAATAGCTGCTGAAATTCGGTCTGGAAAGACATAGCTATTCAAATACTGAAAACTCATTTGTCAAATAATACCAATGTAAAATGACTGATTTCCATGTATAAGTGCAATGAAATGACATTGGGACTGAAATACTGAAAAATGCAAACACACTTTAGGGACTAGAAGATAGATCCTATCCGTAGGTTTACTTTCTTTTTGTTCCTCTGTAAATGCTGATTTTATATAATGGCCGCTCGGTCTCCAACACTTCATTTAAACTAAAGTGTTACAAGACTGTCAGCAAATCTATTTGATATTGCAGCAAAGTCCAATTCTATCTTCACCTGCCACATCTACACATTAAAAGTATCCCAGAAGAAATTGACTGGATTTTCCCCTTCCCTAATACATGAGGCTAATTGTCAATCTGACTCAGGTCAACTCATTCAACACATACCTAAGCGTTAATCCTTGGAATACAACATTAATAACTTGTATTTATATAGCACCTTTAACACAACAAGATGCCTCAAGACACTTTACAGGACTGCTAGAAGGCAAAACATTACACTGAAGGAATCATACCAAACTCAAACATTAATTCTGTTTCTTTCTCCTCAGATGCTATCGGACCTGCTGAGTTTCTCCAGTAATTCTCTGCGTCTGTAACCTTTAGACCAAGCCAAATAAGGAGATATTAGGTAAGACCACTTGCTTCATCAAAGAGGCAGGTTTTAGGGCATGTCTTAAAGGGAGAAAGAATATGGAAAGCTGTAGGGAGAGGCTGAATAGGCTGGAGCCATTTTCCTTGGAGCATTAGAGGCTGAGGGGTGACCTTATAGAAGTTTATAAAATCATAAGGGGCATAGATAGGGTGAATAGTCAAGATCTTTTTTCTCAGGGTAGGCGAGTCCAAAACTAGAGGGTATGGATTTAAGGTGAGAGGGGAAAGATTTAAAAGGGACCTAAGGGACAACATTTTCATGCAGAGTGTGGAGTGTGTGTGGAATGAACTGCCAGAGGAAGTGGTGGAGGCTGGTACAATTACAACATTTAAAAGGCATCTGGATGGATATATGAATAAAAAGGGTTTGGAGGGATATGGGCCAAATTCTGGCAATGGGATGAAATTTATTTAGGATATCTGGTAGGTATGGATAGGTTGGAACGAAGGGTCTGTTTCCGTGCTGTACATATCTATGACTCCATGAGATTTTGAGAGGTTTAAGAACGGGCAAGTAAAACCTTAGATGCACAGCAGGCCAGAATTAGTGGAGTGTAGATAGATCAGATTTTGTGGGTCTGTTTAGAGAGATAGGAAGGTGTGAAGCCATGGAAGGAATAAAAATAAGGATGAGAATTTTAAAATCAAGAAAATTTAACCAGGAGCTAATGTGTCTGTAAACTTAGAGGTGATCAGTAAAAGAGATTGCTTATGAGTTGGGACATGAAAAATCTTGAGCAAATCCAAAGGCACCAATTTTTGAGAAAAAATAAAATTTGGCAAGAGACAACTCCTGCACATCACACTGTCAAGAAAAGAAAAGTACTTGAATGAATTATGCATTGAAATTACTCTAAAACAGAATCAAATTTCTAAGCAAAACATTCTGCTTTTTGAGATATGCTTTTGTATTTAATGATTTGAAATATTGACAAAGCCAATTCTAAAGGTTCAGACTCAATCTCATGAAATGCATGCAGAATGTAAAGGTCACTCACCAGCCAAACAATATATGATGCAGAAATTACATTCAACCCCAAGTTGGAACTGATGGGTTTGCAATAATTAACATAAGAAAAGGTCACAGACCAATTTCTCTAGAAGTTTCCAAATTAATGATGAGCCAATTCATAATGCTGAGAACAGATGTAGCAATGGATTTGTAGAAAGTTAAGAAAGCTTATAATGAGAAGAAAAGCCATTGGTCTGTCAAACTTGTGCTGTTACACGCCATTAATGACTAGTTCAATTGTGGACCTGATCTTCCTTCAGTCAAAGTCTCCAAACATTAAGACCCATATAACTAAAATGTATCCATTAGTATTGTTGAACCTCTTAATCACCTTTCTTACTGGTAATGAATCCAGCTTCCTTTTAAAGACATTGACATGGAGTTACTACCTTTACTAGGGAGCCATTCTGCAAGTCTGCTCTCATGTGGTGTGTGGGCTGGAGTTGTTCTAATTTGTAGAGTCAATAAGGCATGCACATTTTCAAATTTTATTCAGTGCTTAAGCTTTAAATAACTAACTATTCTACATTAATCATATCCACTTCTCTTATTCTTCTGCAGGACTGTTGAAGAAAAGTAAAGGGACCATTTTCCTACCCAACCATAGGGCTGCTCTCTCATTAGAGAGACAACTGGTGGAAGTTTCACTTGAGGGTCAGGGGAAGGAAAAGGTTGAGAAGGAGAGTCCTTAATGGTAACCTCAGCCAGTGCAGGAATTGAACCCACATTGTTGGCATCAATCTGCATGACAAACCAGTCATCCAATCAACTGAGCTAACTGATCCCCAAAGGACAATATCATATCTCCTTCAGTCTTTTCTGCAGTAAATGTATATTCAGTCTTACTTCACAATGCAGTACCCTAAAGATTGAAATTACCTTTATTCCTCTTTTGTGAACATTTCCACATAGCCAATAACCATTTTGCTCCCTTACAGGCATTGCAAATGATATTTTCTAATTTACTGTAGATGTCCCAATAAGCGTTTATACCCACATTAAAATCCATCTGCCATTTCTCAGTCCATTTGCTAAACTGGAGCCAATTTGTCTGAAAAGTAACAACAACCTCTTCTACATATTACCTACATTTTGAGTCATTAGTAAATTTTATAAAACTATAATCTTACACATGACTTACAGGCAACATGGTCAGCAGGGGATCTGTGTGGTCCTTGTGGTACAGCATTGGCCGGATTTTGCATTTTTCAATGACGTAAGTGAGGTGGAATGGAAACTGAGGGCTCTTCTCATTCCCACCGCACATCCTCTGCAAATCCAATCAAGCATCAGATCGGCAATATATGGCTGAATTGCAGTAAGGAGGCCAACAACAAGCATTCAGAAGCTTGCTTCCTTCCCAAACTTAAATCCTTCCCCTTTCTCTCTTGCAGTCATCATCAGGGCCAATTTCTCATGCCTGGTTTTAGATGCCTCAATGTAGACAGCTGTTGTGATTTTGAGGCAATATAAAAAAAAGTGATGAATTTTTGTCACAGCTACATTCACAGTAAAATATGAATCACACCTTGGTGTGAATACATGACTTGTGGATTAGAAGATTTGGCACTGTAGCCCAGGGTGTTAAACAGCAGAGGCATAATGCCACAGTCACGACTAGAATTATAAAGGCCTTCTGTTTTCACAATTAGTCTTTATTATTAATTCAGGGCATGAAAAATATTTTAAATAGATCTTAAAAAATCATACTGTCATTACCACCTTCCCCAGCAAAGTATGCTGGTATATTCCTCTGTAGTCCTGGTGCAAGCATTGTTTTTTACTGCCCTTTGTGAAGTCTTGATTCAGCTGATATATAAAACGACTTTATATTTATTTAATACCTGCTGAAATTTTTTGAGGGCAATGAAAAACTGCAGTCAATTGGTTTGTTAATAAACTTGATATCTTGCCTTCCCAGTGACACCATGCCAATTCTTTTTTGTCAGTATGGGGAAGGGTAATGCGTCTGATTTAGCTTTGAGGTTTCATTGTCATGTGTACTCAAGTACGGGGTATAAGAGTACAGTGAGAAGTGTAGATTGTCACGACACATGGCACCATCTCAGGTACAAAGTACCTAGATACAAAATCTTAGTACAGAAATAGAGAAATAAAGAAATAAGTTAGAAAGTTCAGCGCTATGGCATTCTTAGCATAAAGTGGAAAAATAAAGAACTAAAGTTAAAATGTCAAACATGACAGTCCTTTCTTGAGCCATGGGACTGCAGATGCTCCAAGCTGGGTTTCCCCAAGAGGGCTCACTCTCCCCCATGCTGGCTAAGACCCGCCCATACTCGCCAGGCTTCAGCCCCAATCACTGCCGCTGCCATCCCTCGTGTTTGACTGCTACTGCCGTCATCTTATTCCACTGCTGTAGACCGCTGCCTCCGCCATCCCTCACCGCCAGCTGCAGCCTCACTGCTGCTGCCATCCGGGCTTGTGATGGGCCCCAGCAGCTGGCATGCTCCATCACCGCTGCTGGCTCCACAGTCTCCAAAAGGTAAGAAACTAAAAACTGAAAAATAAACTAAGAAAGGAAGGAATAAAAAGGATAGAGAAAAGGAAAACAGGCGGAATAGACAAGATCAGGACTCAAGAACCCAGATGGTGCCTATTCCACCACCACCATCTTGATTTTGAACGTAAATTCCACATCATTGGACACTTCCTTCCTTCCAGACTAGAAGCTACACAGGGCTGGAATCAGACAGAAATGAATGTTATGCCAAGGGAAAAATTACCAGAAACAGTCAAAATCTTGGTAAAAGAGGTATGTTTTATTTGGGGGTGTGGAGTGTTAAAAGAGCAGAGGATGATGGAAAGGCCGATGTGTTTATGAAAATAAATTCTATAGCGTGTGGTCTAAGTGGATTGAGGGAAGGGATCAAAGAAGATATATAAAGGGAGAAGTGCAAAAAAGGCCACAGTCAGAATAGTGGGCTCAGGTTGTAATTGTAGGACTGAATAGTTTTATTAAAGATAAGGAAGGTTGAGACTTTCAGGGATTTAAGCAAGAAGATGACAATTTTAAATGTAAGCGCCATTAGAAGGATTTGACAACTGATTTAGTTTGCAAGGACAGGAGCGATGCAGTTGTGGGTTTTATTTTGGGTAGGACAAAACTGCAGCATTTTGGATGAGCTGATGTTAATAAAGGTGGAGCTTGAAAGAGTATCAGAACAGCATTGGAATAACTGAGGTGACGAGGACATGAAGAAATGTTTCAGCAGCAGATAAAATGAGGCAATACTGACAAATTTAAAGGTAACCACACAATCCACAGGTCTAAGTTGCAACAGAAATAGGCACACTAGCCGTACTGAGTGCAAAAATAAAACATTCAATGTCCTTCCTTTTCTGCCTTACACAATTTGAATATGGACCTTTTCCAATCTTCTGTAACATATTCATGAAAGAAAAAAGCAGTTATAACACTTCACTTCCAACTGCTTCAAAATAATCATTTCGAATGAATGGACTATCCATTCAAATAATAAAGCTGCAATACTGAAATAGACTAAAGCATTTCCAGTTGAGGCAATGTGACGGCACATATTTTCAAAGCATTTGGTTATCCCCTGGGCAAAAACCACAGAACTGTATGTTGTACAGGCGACATGCCATTTCAAATGTTGGACATTGGTGAACGTCAGTGACAGCCTGAGGGGAAAGAAAACTGTGCAAGGGGAAAATACTGAACACCTGCAATTACAGCTGTTACCAATAGTCAAGATAAAAGAAAGTGCAATTGCTTTAGCACAGAAATGAACATTCTGGTGTAGTCTATCAAGATTACACAAGATAATTTAGTGAATTGCTAATTAACATAACTGTTGGCTGTGCATCAATTCAAGGATACATCAGTTGTGAATTTTTGCTGTGGATCTTCATGTGATGGAATAGGATGGTTCTGAACCCACAGATCTATGGCAACATATGACACAATGTCCCGGGAGGTGTTGAGATACAGAATACAGGAATTGCCTCCTTTCCTTTCTTTTCCTGTTGCTGCTCCACTTCATCATTTGAGATGTTTGGACATATGGAACATGTTGCAATTTGATGGTCAGGTTATTGCGATTTTGAACAATTGATAGCAAGTTCCTTCCATTCATTAATGCCAATGTTGTTGCATTTCAGGGAGAGCCTCAAAGTGCTAATGTCACATTTCTTTTGTTCACTTGTGGAATCATGACCATTTGAGAATTGAGAAAGCAGCCCCAGCACAGGAGACACTTTTCAGTCATCCAGTCTATCTGAGTTGGTTGTGCAGACTTTTTGACTGAATGCTTGGAGAGCTGGCTTTGAAATGGACTCTTGCATTTGTTATGGGCTAGAACAAATCCCTTCAAAGTATATCAAGGAGATAGCCTAGACCCTAACTTTTATCTTATTTAAAGCCAAGTGTAAGGTATGTGTTCCAGATGTGATTCAATTGATCTACTACTGGTTTTTAAACAAAAACACTTTATTCTTATAGCACAGTTAAAATACAAACAAAAAATGAATGGGAGTAACTTTAACTCTTGAAATACTTATTTAAATAACATATATATTTAACTACTAATCATCAGTTGTTCCAACATAGCAGCATCCAATAAATGTGTCATTGGCAAAGGCAGATTCAGCAAAACAGATTATCTCAAGTACTTTCCCCAGTCCAGAAGAAAGGAACAACAAAAGAAACAAATCTAGTAACAAAGAGAGAACTCTAGTGATTTGCCACACCACAGAGAGAGACTACTGTATCTAGCAGCTTCAAATCCGAGCTTAAACAGGAAGCAAAGCTAAAACCCTGGGTCTGTGAGAGCCTGACTCCACCCACTCATGCTTCTTTTATCTAGTTTAAGAAAAACACTCAGTGAGCTCAAAGCTGTTTACTCACTGCTTATGAGGCAGACATTCTTTTACCGCTGGCAACAGCTCTCTACAAGACAGGCAGGACAGGACAAATCCCTCTTAAAGGCACAGCACCATCACACATTTGTTATATAGTCCTCCACTGAGGCTAGTAGCCAGATCTTAACATAGGCTTATTTTCTAGAACCAAGCTTATTTAAATATCATCAGTCCCTGATGTTTTTGATGTCTCTCAACAAGCTCATTTTGCAATGCTCTATGCCTTACTGTGACGGTTTACTAGGTAGAGCTGGTGACCAGAGAATCAGTTTCACCCAATTCAAAACTGGAAAATCTGGAGCATCCCAGATCAAACGCAAAGAAGTCCATGGTCAATTTTTAAAGCATTTATACTGAATGTATAGAATCAAGATGTGTGCACATTACTAGTATTGCTCCCTTATTAGAACTGTAGGCACCAGTTAACTCAATTGGTTAAATGGTTAGCATGTGATCGAAAATAGTGCCAACAGTATGGATTTGATTCCTGTTCCAGATGATGCAGATTTGGGACTCTTAAGCATAGAAAGCAATGACAAAAACTGACAAGAAAGTGGCTCAAGATGAAGCATCAACAGACAAAGAGACAACAAGCTGCTTTCGGACAAAACATACATTTAAAGATTTAGAACTGAATAAATACAGGAGATACTGTGTGTGTGGGACTATTCCCTTGAAGTGGCCTTCTCAAAATACGTCAAGATATCTTGAACTAGTTAAGATAACTAGAAATTAATTAAGTAATAACTCCCACCTGTCAGGCACATACAAGCAAGGAAGGCTACTGAGTTAATTAAATGCCAAGGTCAGTAGAAGAGGTATTTAATCATAGTCCAAAAGAGTTTTACAATAGAAATATTTTGGGAGAATAGTAGTTATTCCTATGAAATATATTCATATGATTGAATCAAGTAAATAAATTTATTTTAAGCTGTGTTAATTGTCATTGCATAGCTAAAGCTGGCATGACACATAATTCCAATTAACTGCCAGCCTTAAATAACAGTTGCGTTTCATTTGAGATAACAAGAAAAACAGTTTTGTTTAATTAATAGCATTCAACATTAACTCTGTCATGCAAATAGTTGTCCTCTGAATTTGGTCATCAAATTG